AAAAAAAAAACCACTGAAAACTAGATTCTGTTCCCTGTTCTGCTAATACTATTAAAGCTATGACCTGAGGGAAGTCACGTAGCATTTACAACTACAAGGCTGTTTCTGTATCATAAAATCAAACAGGCTAAAAATGACAGATCTCTTGAGGTTTCCTTTAGCTCTACAAAACTTGATTCAACGATGAAAAGTATGCCTCATTAAGTAGTCTTCATGACTTCCTAACTTTATTTGAAGTTTAATAAAGTAAACTCCCCTAAAGGACCCTCAGTCCTTACATTGGTAGGCATATGGAGGTTAGAATAGTACCAATTACAGAAGCAATGATGTTAATCTGGTATTTCATCCATGCTGTACTGAATGGAACTGATCTTTTCTGTTCTGGGTCGATGTCAGTTCTGATGTGTCTGTCCTTCTGGAGACAAAGAGTAAGGCCTAACAAGCTGTGAGAGGCCACTTAAAGGTGCTTTTTCACCTTGGGGGGAAAAAAAAACAGAACTAGAACAAGGCATGAGGTACGGGAAGGCAAACCTTAAGATAGGCAGGGAGACTTAGGCAGTGAGACATGTTCAAAGACAATCCCAGGAGACGGAAAGATGACCTCTGGCACATATAACAGATGTGGGCTGGGAGGTCAGACTGTGGTCCTCCAAAAACAACCAAGCAAGCCAGATATATGCAACCGATAAAGGCTAATACCTTGAAGCTTTTAATAAGGTCCTGTTAAACACTATAGCCTAGATTCAGCTCTGCTATGGTCTAAGTCCATGTTAGGCAAGATTGGTAAAAAAGAGAGTGGAACCCTCTGACTCCAGCAATGATTACAAAAAGGCCAGAACTGGGATCATGATGTTTAGCCACCCACCTCATATGAAGTCTCCCACCACTGCTCAAGCTTGGAAGGTAAAGGTGCGATTTCATTAGGGCAAGCTTGCCGCCTCTCCCCAGACCTATGAACGAATACTTGGAATGACAACCGCCACAGGACAGCTGCTAGCCATCA